CACCACGTCCCTTATAATGACTAAACAACAACAAAAATAATTTGAAGGCTGCTGTGATTTGAACTGAGGTTAGTCAAAAGCAAACATGCATCACACTGGAAAAGTGTGAGAAATTTCTTCGCTTCACATTTAAATTTGAACTTGAAACATTATTATTTTCAGTATTTAAAGGGGGGAATGAGAAACTTGAAAATAAAGAATTAGTTTCAAATCTTATAGGCACTGCAAGATCTGAGATCGTCAGAAATTGGAAAAACACTCAAGATCTCTCATTACAAGCATTTACAAATAAGATATGGCATACAATGATGATGGCAAAAATGACTAATAAAGTCAGACTATATAGAGGAGAAATAAGGCACAGTCAATTCATTGAAAACTGGAAGCTTTTATTAAAATATGCCAATAAAATAAATCTCGAGACACGTGGTTTGGAAAACAATTTGGAGCATTTAGATTGTTGGTTGATATTTCTTTAAGATGGAATGGGGAATGGTGTAAATGTGATTTTGAGAATTGTGGGGCATAGCAATTGGTCAACAGTTAAATTATATAACAAGATGACAGTTTACTATGTTAACCTTTGTATTTATTACTTGTAACATGATGGATTGTGCTGCTTATATATACCGCCCCATAATGCTTCAAGCACTCTCTGGGCGGTTTACAAGTTAATTATGCAGGTTATACATTGTCTTTTCTTTAGAAATAAAATTTAAATTAATTAAAAAAAATTAAATTTGAACTCACCAGAATTATACTTCTCTAAATGAAATAAATGCTCCCGTGCTCATACTTTTATGAATTTTACTATGCAGCCCTGCCCTGAAAAAAAAAACAATAGATGAGCGGGTGTGCAGAAATGCACATAATTGTGAGATAACATTCAAATGTAGTGTTTTAGGGGAAACAGGCTGCAAAAATGCATATATTAGTCAAAACTGTACCAAAATCTATGACTATAAAGAAATGTGCAAAAATACACACAATACAAATATATATATGCATGCTCAAAAAGCAACCCTAGAAGTTGATATGGAAATTAGATAAAATAACTTGGAGATAGGAATAAGAAACAGAGAGGGAAAGAGAAATTCCAACCAAAGCTCAAAACACTGGGTTTGAAAACTAATTTATCTGTGCTATATATGAAAAATATGACAATTAATTTAGAATATTTAATGTTGAATTCATAGAATCATAGAATAATGACATTGGAAGTGACCTATAAGGCCATCAAGTCTAGCCTCCTCCTCAATGCAGGAATACAAATCAAAGGATATCTGTCAGATTACTTTCCAAATTTTATCTTCAGTGCCTCCAGTGCTGCAGCACTCACCACCTCTCTAAGTAATTGGTTTTGTCGCCATACTGTTCTAACAGGAAGTTTTTCATGATATTCAACCAAAATCTGGCTAAATTAGCATTTATAACCCACTGTTTAGAATTTAGATAGCGTTTTTTGAAAGTACCAGACTGCTAAATTATGTATCTCAATCTGACATATTTTTCAAATCCCTTATTAAGTGTGGATGCTTAAATTCAGTACATCTGAAATGTAAGGTTGGTGTTGGCTAAGGGATCTACGTTACACTGGTGGTTTCATGATATTCAACCAAAATCTGGCTAAATTAGCATTTATAACCCACTGTTTAGAATTTAGATAGCGTTTTTTGAAAGTACCAGACTGCTAAATTATGTATCTCAATCTGACATATTTTTCAAATCTCTTATTAAGTGTGGATGCTTAAATTCAATACATCTGAAAAGTAAGGTTGGTGTTGGCTAAGGGATCTATGTTACACTGATTCAGTATTACATAAAGCCAATAATTCAATATACTGCAGAAAATATAGTAAGTTACTAGATGGAGAAACAGAGCTCTTTCATTGCTATTTCAGGTCATAGTAACCACTTTGCTATGAAAGACAATTGGCACAACTACGCTGTGTAAATGGTGATGACATTATCACCTGGCACTATTAATCTTCAGTTTGATTAATTTTTTAAAAAATATTCCCTTCCTCTTTCAGGTTCTGAGCTCCTTTGGGAGCCTTGGTTGGGTCAGAAGCCTTTAAAATCAGAAAATTACTGCTGAATTTCCATTTTTCAAACTTAGGCTTTCGAAAACTAAATTGTCAATTTGAAACTGGAAGCTAGCAGAATCACTACTGATTACAATATTTTCTTCTAAATCAAAATTTTATGAAAACTGTATGAATGTTTCCCTGTGTATTCTACATACACAATATATTCCATAGATCAGATTAGATTAGTCATTCTCGAGAGACTATGGTAACGTGCTCTTGGAGCAGCATCTAGTGAGGCTTAGAAGGCCAATTTGAGAGCGACAATCCCTTCCACACCGAAGACAAATACAATCTGTCCCCTGTCCAGCTCCCTGATTTTGCTGCTTTTGGGACTGCCGGACAAGGGTCTCTTCAAATTGGGAGAGTGTAACATTAAGTAAAAATACTTAAAAACTTTGAAAATTGTTCATGTTACTTTTAAAATGCTATTTTTAAAATACTATTTTTGTGGTGTTTTGCATTAGTGGGTGTGGCGATTTCCTCTGAAACCCCTATCCCCTCAGGTCTTCACAAGGTTCTCGCCCTTCTTCTTTCTTCGCTGCCACCAGGTATTGCTGCCTCAATACCATTCACTCAAGGAGACATGTGTGCTTTTAAAACTTAACTCATTTATTAGATCAGGAAAGTTAACATATGATTAATATTCACTAGGTAAATCACAGGTTGCTAATCACTTGTATTTGTATCAATTCTACTTTAAATCTCTAATAACTCTCTGTACCATTCAGCATTCTTACAGACCTCTAACTCACTCTAAGTTCACTTTTAAGTTTCACACTGTCTCTCTCTCACAGAATCTCTCTTCAAGTCCATACACCAGCCTTTATATCCAGCCCCCTCCCCCCCTTGGCTCCGCCTTCCGTCCTCTCATTGGCTCCTACTCCACTGTTCAGCTGTGACAGACAGGTGAGGGCAGGGCTGTTTGCTACAGTGGGTAAAAAAGTAACAATCTTAACCTTTTAAATTTAAACCATTATTGTACTTTGAGATCATAGCAATTTTTCATGTTATTTGCTCTCATTCGATAAAACATGAATTTAATATTAACATATTAAAATTGATGTTTCATTCCAAGCTCTGAGTCATACAAACTCAAACAGATTTGTACATAATAAGGGTTAAAGGCTGAAATTTCAAGCAATATATTAGGTTGATATTTGATTTGTATTGATATTGTATTACTTTGTTATTCTGTTGTTTTTTATCTGTTATAAACCACCCAGAGTGGCCCTGGCTGCCAGATGGGCAGTATATAAATCAAATAAATAATAATGATAATAATTAGAGAGCATGCTCTACTGAAATTAGTGGGACCGACTTCTGATTAAATATACATGTTAAAGTTCTTAACAATTAGTAGTAGAGCTTGCTGTTTTCATTTGTTTAATTAATCAATTTTCCATCACAAAAATTAGGCAGTGTATCTCCACAAAAAAGAGGGCTAGAGATGAGAATTTGCATCAGTTAGCATATAGTGTGTGCACACACATGTACGTGTATAAACTCCTATGCAATTCATGTTCAAAACAAGAAATTCGCCATCACAATAAATTTGAAGGTGAGATCCTTTATCAGAGCCCCCGTGTGTGTATGCAATTTCTGGAGACTGAAGTGCGACATTTTCCCACTTTGAACCCAGTAAAAACAATATCCCTCTGCCCCACCCAATTTGCAAGAAAAGCAGAGTATATATTTTGTCACAATTGATGTCATAATTATTCTTTTAAAATTATTCTCTTATAACAAAGCATACAATCCTTATAAACCTTTTTTATACACAGATGTATGCTTTGTGGACGGTTTTGGAAATGTGAACCTGCCTATTTAAAGTCAGGAGAAGTTATATGAAAAATTGTGTTTTTAATGTTTTGAGTACGATTTTCCTTTGTCTACAATTTCATCTTAAATGAAACTGAGCAAAATTAAAACAAAGATACTGTCTTAATTTTAAATATTCTAAATGTGAAATTGTAACAGCTACAAACACACACAAATGAGAACCTCAGTTTAATTTGTTGTTTAATTCTTTTAAAACATTGTAACAATTTGTTACTTTTTAGTTTTTAATATTGCTTTCATATTGTCAACCACCTTCATTTATTTTGAGAATGGCAAAGTACAAATTTGTTTCATAGATAATATGCAAATACATGTTATGTTTACACATAAGCAGAGATGAGAACACCTGCGGCTCTCATCTGTGTTTAACCCACCCTCAGTTCTCTTGAGAAAACTGGGGTATAAATATTATAAATAAATAATTATACTTCTTTATGCATGTACGTTTACACACAGAGCAATGCTCCTTAGCAAGGCAATAAGGGGCGTTGTATTTTTGTGTGTGTGCATGTTTAGCATTCAAAACGGTGGCCATTCCTTGTGTGTGTTTGCACGTGTTCATGCCCATGAGAACTATTTATAGCAACCTTTATGGTAGCTAAATCCATACACGTGGAAGGCAGGAGGGCCTGGCGTGCTCTGCTCCATGGGGTCACGAAGAGTCGGACACGACTTGAACGACTAAACAACAACCACCAAAATCCATACAGGTACAAATTAAGAAGAAAACCGCTCCTGAGGGCGCCTACCGAAGGCAGTTACCTCCGTGTCAATATATAACCTTCCCCACGTTCAGAAATATACCGTCAATAAGGCTTGCGAGAGGGAAAGTTTGCTGAGGAGGGGGCTTTTTTTTTTACCTCAGGCGAGGAGGGGGCTTTTTTTTTTACCTCAGGCGCACGAGACAGAAGCCACCCGAGGCGCGCGCGCACTCGCGAAACACCTGTTTTTCTCCCGCCCGCCGGCCCTCGGGCCCCGCCCCTTCGTTACCAGAAGCCGCAGATCTTTCCATCACAGCAGCTTGGAGATGGAGACCTTAGTTACCAGAAGCCTCAGAGAGGCCTTAGCAACGCCGCGGGCCAACGAGCGAGGCGGCCACGAGATGGCGACGCCTCCCCGAGCGACGCCGGGGCGGTGGAAGGGAAAAAAAGAGATCCCGCTCTCAAGTCTCGCGAGAGGCAGCGGGACTGTTCGCCGGGCTTTGGCGCCAGGCGCGAAAGAGAGGCTGCGCGGAGGTGCCACTGGGTGGTCGCCATGGAGGCTCCCGCCGAGCGGACGGTGGCCGGGAGGGCCGCGAACTTGCCTTGGTAAGAAAAAGAAGAAGAAAGAGGAGGGGGATCTCCTGCGGCCTATAATCCCGCCCATTCTCTCTCTCTCCCTCTCTCCCTCTCAGGAGCTTAAAATGTCAGATGCCCAAAGGAGCTCCGTCCTGGCGCGGGCTTTACCTTGGGGCGCCTGGCGTTGTTATTTCTGAACGAAACGATAATGTGGCGAGGCCTCTCCCGAACATGTGCAGAGTGCTCCGTGTTCTCTGCCCCCTTCGCTTGTTTTGCCTCTCCTGTCTCGCCATGCAGGAGACTCCGAGCCGGGCAGCCTTGGATTGACGTCCCAAGAATCGGTTCCCCGGCTCGGCTTCGTTGCGGCCTCTACCCCTACCTAGGTCGTCTGGTGTTTACAGAGATCCGTAGAAGGGCGGGGTGGGGGTTTGCCTCGCTTAAAGGGCTTTAAAAAGAGACCTAAACAAAGTAATAGACTACTGGAGGGAGGGGGCTGGTCTCTCTCTGTGTGTGTGTGTGTGGGTGTGAGTAAACAACACCATGCTGTGCAGTTATTTTGTTTAAGCCACATGGGACA